CGAAAGACGGCAAGCCGGAAGGCCTCACAAGATCTCACAAGCCTATGGATCTGTGCGCATGCTGTGACTGGCACCCGCAGGACACGAAGGAACTCAAGATCCCACTGCCTCACCTCACGATTGAATTATTCAAGCAAATCAATCGAGTGTCTGCCCGAGGATAGTGCGACCGACTGAGCATAGACGGGAACAATTGCCTGGACTCCCCGATTGCATTCGATGGAACACTCTTCAGGGCTCGGACCAATAGATCACAGACATTCAGAGGCCTCGACAAGTCTGAAAGCGGAATACGGGCAAAGCGCAAGTCTGCAAGGCACTGAGGCATTGACTTGAAGCACCATTCGACGGCAGAGGCACCGTAAACATCACAAACCTTGCTACACCCGACGCCATGCACATGTACCTCTCGTACTCTCCTATCAACTGTGCAACGCGAACGGAGGTACACGCCCAGAATCTCATCAGGTATTCTAGGGTGAAACAGCCTCAATGACAGCTGGACATGGTTGCGTCGGTTGCGTGAAGGCATGTGAGCAAGCCTGTGGTGAGAACCTCGATAGACTGCCAAATGTCCTCAGCGCAACTGCGTCTAGTAACAGAAAAACGCCGAGAACCATGCCTCGGAAGTCCTCTTCTTGAACCTCGTCAAAGCCCCCAACCCCCCACACACCCAGGAAGAAATGTTGCTGAGCAAGTATTGCCTGATTGGAAAACATCTTCCATCAGCTGTATGCTGTAGTCCTACTCCCGCGTGCATACAATTGGCTACATACTCCTGCTACGACCTGCTGGCCGTCGCTTGGTATCTATCACTGGCCCCATTATCCAGCTCCGGATACTGGTTCTGCTTGCGTCTGCTGACTTTCACTGACTGCGACTCGCTGCGGCTGGCTACAGTTTCCAACTTGCACCTTGTGCGACGTTAGTGCGTGCAGGCCAGACCAAGACCAGGCCCAAGCAGGAGCAACTAGAGTCTAGAGTCATAGAGTGCTGCCGCATGCAGCCGCTCTGTCTTGTTGCGCTGCCATGGTCTTCGCTGTTGCCTCTGGTTTCATGACTCGCTTGGCCATATGTTGGGGAGCGTGATGTCCACGAGGCACGTGCTGAATGGGCTCGGCAAAGACAGGAAGTCTGGAACCAAAGTGGGGTTCCATTGCTGGATCAGTGGATCTTCAGCTTGCGATGTATTGTGACTCGCAGATGGGTTTGGCCCAGCGGAGGCCATGCTCAACGTACACATGGCCAACTACTTCCAAGGGCCCATGGAAACCTTCCGCTGGCATGGCTGGCGCCTGGCATCGGGGCTCCACTGTCATGCCTGCAACATCCCGGTGGTACCCAAAACGCGAACGTAAAAAGCTAATGAGAACAGGTTCGAGGTCGTCTGGCGTTCAGGGAATGCGAGCGATTGACCACGGAAGCACATTGTTGACTTGATCGCGCGAATTTTAGACTATTCAACTCACCCTCGTCAGTTGTTCTGCGCAAAACATTGAGAAAAACTGTTTCAGAGCAACAGCTGATTCTGACTCGTGAGTTACTGGCACATAATGCCAATGCTGTTGTAACGTTTGAACTTCTACTGCAACGCAGACTTGATGGCACACTCCGGATGAGTTCGGGTTGCTAAAACCTGCTGTAAGTCCCACATTCAATGAGGAAGTGCTGTAGTTGTGTAACTGCATAATCGAAGAGCATTCTCTTGTCGGTCAGTTGTAGTGCCATGATCATCCCAGATTGGATGTATGTCAATTGCTGTGAGAATTGGATGTACGTTGCTGTCATCAAAGCCTTTGATGTAACATGGCGGCTTATACACGCCAGGTATTCCATACCTCTTGGTACAAGAAGCATTGGATACCTTACACGGCTACTGAAACCACAACTTGATGAACAGAAGTTCGAAGAGAGCTTCGCAACTTGGGAGTTTCAACTCTCAAGGTACGAACAGGACAACAAAACACTACTACCAGACGCAGTCAAGATTGCAATACTGCTCAACGAGACAAAAGGACCTACAGCTGCAAGCAGGAAACAGCACAACATATGCACAGATCAGATCAATGGTGATCGAGTACTACAGAGCGGCAGCATCATTCACCAGGCTACAAGCAATCACATCAAGCAACAACAACCAAGGACCGGCACCGATGGACATAGGAGCAACATGGTACAACAAAGGCAAAGGAAAGAAGGGCAAGCGCAAGGGCAAAGGAAAGTACAACAAAGGCAAAGGCTACGGCAACTACGGGAACAACTACAGCTGCAACAACTACAAAGGAGGAAAAGGCAAATACAATCAACAACCGGTTGGACAAGGCAACCAAGGATATGGCAACGGAAAAGGATACAGCAACAAAGGAAAAGGCAAAGGATACTACAACAACCAACAAGGAGGAAAAGGAGCAAAAGGAAAGCAGGCAACAAATGTTTGCTACAGATGCGGACTACCAGGACACATGGCCAAACAATGCAGAGTGGCGATCTACAACTGCGACACTGGAACCTTCGACACCAATGACCAGACAGATGACTGGTACGATGCATCAGCTAGCGTTACCACAACCACCACAGGCAGCAGATCCAGTACCCATTTCAGGATTACATGAAGTAACAATTGCCATGATTGGCACAGCGCAACAACTAACAGAAGACAACAAGAAGGTCAGACTTATGATTGACAGCGGTGCGGCTACACATGTATGCCCACTATGGTTTGCACCACAATTCCCGCTACAACTAGAACATGGCACGGGACCACAACTCAGAACAGTGACCAACCAGCACATCAAACTGTTCGGGTACAGATGGGCTTGCATGACAAACCACAGCGGACAACAGATTGGCATACCGTTTTACGTTTGTGAGGTTAAACAAGCAATTCTTTCAGTTACAAGCTGGTGGAACAAGGTTTCCAACGACACTGGATGACAATCCAAGACTACAGCACATCAAAGGTTTCAACAGCACACTGGAGAACAGAAATGGCCTGTTCTTCCTACAAGCAGAAATCACAACATTGCCAAAAGGGACAAAGCTACAGATACACAACACAGAACAAGGACAGATTGGCATGATAGCACCGACCACAACGCCTACACCACAAGGTCCTGCAGATACAGGATACGCAGGTTCAACACACAAGGAGAACTTGTCGCAATACGGGAAGACACTTTTAACACCATCAAGAACACAGTGTTTAGTCCCGGCAGAGGACTATACGAAAACCATCAGATTCAAGGATGGTATGACGAATACGTTTGAGGAGAAGTATCAAACAATGGAAGAGCCAAACAAAGCACAACCACAGATCAAGAAAGGGACAACATTGCCAGAAACACTACAGCGACAATTCGCAACAAAGACACAGCCAAGAAGCGAGCCACAGAAGGTCACAATACAACCCACGAACGCGATTAAGAGAGAAAACAACCCCACCAACACTACAGGAGTCAGCAGCACCACACACCAACAAAGGTGCAGCTGGACATGGACTTCCACATCCTTCAGAAGTACATCCTGGAGGAGACTACTGGTACAGAGAAGGCCCATACTGGAAGAGAGTGCATGTTGAGCCTAGAACAGCGTTTTACATACCAGAGCAGACACACGACGGGCCAGACATCAAGCGACTCGTACCTTGGAGACAGACCAAGGTACAACCAGTCGGACAAAGACGCAACACAAGATTGGTAGAAGACGAATGGACAACACCGCCAGCCAAGACATCAGACAAGCCATGGGCAGGCTGGACAAACTTTGAGGAACATCCGGAGTTTCCAACACAACTTGAGTCAGATGATGAGGAACAACAACAGGGTACAAAAGCAAAAGCAGTACAAGCACCCAAGCAGCCAACACCACAGGAGATACTCGAGCACAACGTGACACATCTTCCTTACAGGAGTTGGTGTCCAATATGCGTACAAGGGGCAGACAGAACAATCACCCAAAGCAACACAGCAAGCTTCCAATCATACAGCTTGAAGGGCCAGAGACTGCTCGTAGTCACCCCGGTTTGGGGCAAAGCTGTCGTCACACTAAACTTAAAGCTGAGCAAATCAATCATATGCCCAGGAAAGCTAGCAAAAGGCGCTTCGCAGAAATTCTGCAGAGTGGTCAAGACGCCAAAAAGGTCCAAGGCTGCGGCTCCGGGCTGGTCTCGAGAATCAAGCTGATTAAGCTCAAAAGGATCATCAGGACATTAATACATGCCTCAAGGCAGTCATCAAGCCAATCAAGACTTGACTCGCGAAATGCTTGATAGGGCTGCGGCAACGCCCATGGTGACCACTCTGGGCACGTCAGAGCCTTGAGCGACAAGCGCCAAGCGAGCGCAGTGCGATCGACGTGCGGACGTGCGCGCTTTCCTGAAGCCTCGTTCTCAGAGCCCCTGGCTGGCATCTGGCTCCTCCAGGATCCAGTACAAAGACCGTCGTATCCTTGGCATGCGTTCAACTGTTTCAAACCAGCAAAACGGCAAAAAAGCGCTGAGTTTGCTCATCAGGTGTTAGGAAAAATCAGCTGAGGTCCCTTCTCCTGAACGCTCTCTGGGTACACGGAGTGCACTTGCCTCGGGGTGTCCAATCTTTTCTCCCACATCGACCTCCTCTTCGCCATCCTCGCCCTTGCCCTCCTCACCCCCTTTTCCGAGGCCTGTGATTGTGTCGGATCTCCCGGAGGTGCTGCCCAAAGTTCTTCGGCATGGCCTTGGCACATCTTGGCCCGTGCATGGCGTTGTCAAACACTGCACTAAGCACCTGGCTGACTCGTGGGCTTTGAGGCATCATGCTGTGTCCATGGTCTATGTTCTTAAAGTCTTAGCCGGCTCGAGCATATCTATTCAGTATCCTCTTCAGAGTCCACTACGCACATCCCGTGACAGGATTTCATCTTGAATGAACCACGGCTCCAAGCAAAGCAACATTCGCTGCAGTATCTGGAATTGGGGAGGTCTTGCAAGGGGTCTTAGAGCGCCTCTGGCCCAGGCCTTGTTTTCAGGCTTCCCGTTCAAGCACCTCCATCAATGCAAGTGCATCTTGCTCAGCTTCCTCCTCCATGTTGGCGGGATTGACAGAGGACCCAAACCAGGGTTCGCACGGTTTCGATGGTGATGGATCTTTGGCCTTCACGTATGCTTTCGGTTCATCCGGTTCATCCGGTTCATCCGGTGCATCCGGTGCATTCGGTGCATCCGGTGCATCCGGTGCATTCGGTGCACTCTCTACTCCTTCTCCTTCGTTGGCATCGTCGCCATCGCCGCGGAGCGCACGGAGAGCCTTGGCAGCGCCGGCCTCGTGGCATAGCCTCTCCAAGGTCTCGCCCTCGCGCGCCCCGCGCGCCCCGGCAGCTTTCAGCAGCCGCACAGCGGCCGGGGCATTGCAGCGGCAAGCCAAGGCAAGCGGCTGCAGGCCCCCTGGCCCTGCAGCTTCTACGTCTGCCCGTTGCCTGCAAGACCAGAAAAGCACACAATGCCGCACAATATCCCGATAACGAGGCCTGAGATCTGGCAGCAACTGGTTCAAAACAAACCAACTCACTTTGTGCCTTTTCTCGCACTGAAAGCCATCAAGGCTGCCTGATGAGGTACTGCAGCGTCTCCTCCTGGTCGCAAATGATGGCGGCGTGGATCGGCCGGCAGCCGTCTTTGGGATCCTCCTGCTCAATGTCCTCCCCGTCTCTCCTCGGCATAACCCTTCACCGTAACACTCGCTTCTCTTTACCCCTTTTGCAGTTCACTCCCCTTTCAACCGTTCTCTTCTTTCACACCCTCAACACTCTCCTCGCCTCTTTACGACACTCCTCAGCTTGGGCTTCACGTTCCTCTCCTTTCCTACTTCCTTCTTCATTGCCCTGTCCTTCTTCTATTCATTTTGTTCCTTCTTTCATCTTTCGTCTCTCTATATTTCCCTCTTCTTCTTCCTCTTCCCCTTTTTCCCCTCTTCTTCCTTATCTCCTACTATTCCTTCTCCCTCTTTCCTCGTCTTTCTTTCTTTCTGAAATCTTATTGCCAAGGCGCAGCCCCTCGATGAGCTCTGCCACGTTCCCGAAGTACGCCTCACAAGCGACACACGCGAAGTTCGGATCAAATCGACTGTCCAAGAAAGCCGCAAGCAGAAGCCCTGAAAAGATAATGCGACCCGCAAAGGTGCGCAGCAGCCGCGCGTGAAAATTACCGGTGCCACGCGCTAGGTTGCACACAACGGCTCGGCTGCGACTGTGGCCAAAAGAGCGAGCCAGCGGAGAACTGATCCTGGACGATGGGTTGGATCACCCCAGAACAGCAAAAGCTCGCGATGACCTCGTTTACAAAGAGTCCAAGGCCACTACGAAAATGCATGAGGACAAGAGTATCTTTCGGACAAGAACGCGAGGTTGCCTTGGGGCCACCTCAGATCACATAGTTCCATAGGTTCAACGATTTTCTTTTCTCCAGTCGCTTTTTGGGGCCCACCTGCAACTCAAATTCTCAAATCACAGCGACTTGTGTTTTCTCCTGCGTGTTGTCCGTGGCCTTGGTGCGGTTTGTTCTCTGGATGTTGTCCGTGGTCTTGGGGTTGGCCTTGCTGACGAGGAAGGTGGTCGCAGGTCGAAGATGCTTCGATTCAATTGCCACTCGCACAGCTGAGATTGAAGAGCACGGAGCGTTGGCCTGCGCAATTCATAGGACCTGGTGTTGCGCACGCGTGCCTGAGGCCCACGTGAAAGACATGCTTCTTAGCGTGGACCATTTTGGGTCGGAAAAGATTCGACAAATCGAGATACGCCTGATCCACACAGATCAAGGATGAACACACGGTCTTTGTGTGGCCCAGTGTGGCATTTGCGAAGGAGTGGAGCGCTGTAAATGTTGCCATCTGGAAGCCCATTGGGGCGGTCATGTAGGTCAGAGCAAAACCCAGGCCCATGGTAGCTGTGAATTTGCAGATCGGGAGACCAAGAGGTGGTGAGACTTATGAAGACTGCGACGGAGTAGAAGTAAAGTACTGGTTGTGTCTTTTGGAAATATTGCATTTGTGCGCCTAAGCCCTCCATGATCTTTAATGGGGCAAATGGGCTGTCGGTTTTAGCGGCTTCAGGCCAGACATCAGCTGCTATTATCCACCAAATCATACAAAGGTCGCCCTAAAGAACCCTGCCCAAAACCGGGCTGACCGGTCTCTCTCTTTTTCTCTTTCTCTATCTGTATATATATATACGCCGTTAAAGTGGGACCAACTGTGTAAACACCTGATGGCCTAAATGTGTCAAACCTGTGATGTGACAGCACGGCACTTGTTGTATCAGCGGGCGAGGGCTGTAGCTGTATCATGTGGATAGGCTCAAGGCCTTGATTGTACAAAGCAGCATTCCAGATGTATTGGGATGCATGTGTCTTAACACGCCTCCTCAGGACAATGTATCTCACGCACGTTCTCCTGAACTGGTGAAAAAAGATGATGTGGCTGCTGTAAAGGAGTGTGTGCTAGGCCGTACAAATTTGTTGTGGTTCGCGGTGTCAAAAGCGAGTGTCAAACAGCTGCTGTTTCAAACAGATGTTATATCAAGCTATTCGACTGCGCCACTCAAATTTGCTGTTGTATGAACCATGGTGTTCACACATTCCTCGACCGCTTCGCAGCCGTTGTGGCAACTGCATCCATGGTTGTTGCCTGTTTCATGAGCACCTCCCTGTACTTGTTCATCTTGTCTCCGGGTAGAACTCCTGATTCTGCATGTAGCACCAGGTGTGATGATCCTGGTGTCCCCGGATGCGCTCAATATCTTGATTGCTTGTGCCCGAACTGACACATTGCCTGATGTTTGCAGATGATGTAGCACCGCGTCGTGATGCTCTGTGCTGATGCGCTTGAGGATGTATAGGCCAGTGTACTCCATGACCTGGTCATTGCAGCATGGATTGTATCATCATCTGCTGCAACCTGTAGGTCGTTCAGGTTGATGAGGGCGTTGTAGTCCCACGCAAAACCATTTGTCCACTTGAACCTCTTGAAGATGTCCAGGATGTTGTAATGGCAGAGTTCGCAGATTTGTACCGACTGCTGTTCGAACTCATCGAACTGCCACTTCTTGTTGTAGTGATGCTGGAGGTGGAGGATCTGATACCCCCTGTTGAATGTACTCATCTGATTCTTGCTGAGCCTGGCAATCAATGCACAGCTTCTCCAGCTGTGCGGATGCGATCTTGCGTTCGCTGAAGAGGTAAAGCAATGTTGTAAGGGAGTCAAAAGGACAGGTGTTGTGAATCATGTGCTCCCAAAGCGGCTTCCTCATGTTGGCCTGAAGCCCTGTGTAGCCGCCCTCCAAACTGATGTACTCCTCGCCTGTCAAGGCGACGTACAAGACGTTGTTTGTGTCTGCAGTCTTGTTGATGCGCCATTCCATGATGTTGTGCGCCTCCTTACCGTTGACGCATCTGATGTTGAAAAATCCCACTGATGTAAGCGATGTAGACAACTGCGCGTCGTAACGCTTGCCGGTGCGCTCATCCGATGTAACAAGAGCGGTCAAGGCCTCCGATGTGTCAGAAAGAAAAGAATGTATCTGACTGGTGTAAAAGGGTAAAAGGCAGCGGAATGTGACACATCAATGTCCAACATGTATTATGCAGAAAACTATTGTGAGAGGGGTTGTAACACTCCCAGAAAAGATGTAGCGGTCATAAAAACAGGGTCGATCTATGGCTGATGTATCTACCCTAAAAAGATTGTAGCTACGCCGGCTGTTAAGTGGCAACTGTTGTTTAACAACCTGCGCTGACTACTGTACTCACTGTTGTGAAGCTGTTGTGGTGTGGCCTCACAGGCCAACGTTGTACAGGTGTTTGTTGAGTGTGTCGCTGCCAACAAACTTGGCAAGAATGTCGGCTGTGTTGTCTTCTGACTTTACCTTGTGCATGGTGATGGTTTTGCTCTTGACAAGTTGTTGTATGAAGAGGCGTCGCAGCTCAATGTGCTTTTCTTTCTTTGATGTACCTTCTCTCATTGCTATTGACTTTGCTGCGCTGCTGTCTGTGTGTATCCTGATGTTGGTGCGTACTTCAAACGCTTCCTTGATGAAGTTGCTGATGTAGAGGCTTTCCTGTTCTGCTGTACCAATCGCGTACAGCTCTGGTTCTGCTGATGAAAGTGCTATTGTTGCTTGTGTTCTGCTGCCATAATGTACTGCTGCTCCAAAGAAGTACAGTACAAATCCTGTTGCGCTTTTCCTTGTTGTCTCACACGATGCCCAGCTGGCATCTGTGTATGTGTCAATGTTGAGTGGAATCTTTTGTCCTGTGTTTGTATCTTTGGTCGCAGGTTGTGTCGCGAGTACCTTGTTCCTTGAAGGTGCCTGATCATGTGCTTGAGCTTCTTGTTGTCAAGTTATGTTGGTGCCTGTAATGATCTTGCTAGCTCCCTTGCTCCATAGCTGATGTCTGGTCATTGTATCTTGCCAACAAGCCGCCCGTATTTCTTGTGTTGTTCTTGGTCTAGTGGTGCTTCATCTTCTGCTGCGCCTTTCATGTGTGGTACTCCTGGTGATGGTGCTGGATTGCAGGTAGTCATTCCTGATTCTTCCAGGATGATGTCAACATAATTGTTGTGCAAACTGATGTCAATGTGATTGCCTTTGTGTGAAACGTTCCTGCCAAGCAAATGCATTGTTGATCCAACTGCTAGGTTGCCAGTGTGTCTCAGCAGGACTTCCTTTTGCATTCTGCTGAAGAGCGTGTTGATGACGCTCTGTACTCCTATGAAAAGGAGATCGTCCACATAGATCATGATGTAGACCTGACAATCTTTTGACCTGTAGACATTGCTTTCTGTTGTGCATCTCACAAGCCCAAGCGCAACTGTGAGGATGTGTGCTATGTGGTCTTGCCATTGTTTTGGCGATGACCGTAGGCCATAAATGGCTTTGTTCAGCCGCCGCATTATGTGTCTGTTATCATCATTGTAGAACTCATGCGGCGGTCGCATTACCAGGTTGTAGGAGATTGCTTCTGCATGTAGAAATGTAACACTGACATCTCCTGCGCTGACTGACCAGTTGTACGCCAATGCCATTGTGAGGAGTATCCTCAGTATGCAAAACAATGGTGCACTTGCAAACAAGAGATCGTGGTCTGTCACAGGTTCTGTGTAGCCCTTTGCTACTATGCGTGCTCGCACGTCGTTGTGTTTCTGTTTGAGAACCCATCTAGATTCGATAATGTTTGCTTGTTGTTCTGGTGTCAATGTGTTTCCATCAATCTCTGAAAAAACTGATTGACCTTTCATTTGTTGTACCTCCTTCTTCATTCCTTGCGCTACCTGTTGTGGATCCAAGTCTTCTGTGTCATGTAGGATTGGCTCTAGTAGGATCCTCTCATTGTTGATTTCTTCTGCATCTTCATTGGATGTTGTCTGCATTTGTTTGCCATCCTTTGTTGTGAACTCGATGGCATTTATTCTCATTTTGCTCTTTGGCTGTTCTGATGTTGCGGGTCGCTCAAGCGCTTCTCTTTCTGTTCTGGTGCGCTGTTGCTTGCCTGTACTGCCTTCTGCTATTGCGTCATCTCTTTCTCTTGTGGGTGATGTAGGAGGTGGTGCTGGCAGCGCTGGTCGCTTCTGGTGTGCTGGTGATGTAGCCATAGGTGATGTTGGCTCTGTTGTTCGTTTCTGCTTTGTTGGCTGATCTCCTGCTTCTGTTGCGCTCTGTCTCTTGCC